ACGCACCGCCCGCGTATACCACAATACTTGGGGGCACTACAGCGCCGGTGTACATACACCGCAGCAGCCATGTGCAACACAACGCCAGTGTACACCACAGTGCTTGCGTGCACCGCAGCGCCTGTGCACGCCACAGCGCCTGTCTACACCACAGCATCTGCGTGCAACGCAGCGCCGGTGTGCACCACAGTGCCTGCGTGCATAGGGCAGGTCGAAGGAGCATGTACGTCAGGATCTGATGCGGACAACTAAACGCCACGCCAGGAACGTTCTGATAATCGAATGCGACGTTTTTCCCTCCTCCCTTCTCCTCCACCTCATCCTCCTCCTCCGCGTCCCCCTTCCTCCTTCTTACCCCCTGTCGTGCGGCTTGGCGTTACAACGCACGTGCGCATCTCAGCGTGCACCGCAGAATGGTCGATTGAATCGGTCCACTTGGTTTTCGGACGGCCAATTTAGCTGGAGCCTCCTGGACGCAAATGGGAGTTAGGGTGATGCGGGCGGACTCGGGCGGACTCGTAGATTCCAGCGGCGCTCCTTTGTCCATGAGGATTTGTTTTCCATGGTTTCTTCTGGAATCCACACGCGCTCCATTTTGTCACAAGGATTGCTTCTGAAATTCTATACACACCAATGGTGCTGTGTTCCACGCGGCTGATGTGGTGCACACAGGCGCCGTGGCGTACACAGGCACTGCAATACACGCAAGCATTGTGGTGTACACTGGTGATGTGTTGCGCACGGCTGATGTGGTGTACGGAGGCGCTGTGGTGTACACAGGAGCTAATGTGCCCGCAGGCACGGTGGCACAAACTGACGCTGTGTTTCACGCGGCTGCTGTGGTGTACATCGGCGGTGTGGTCTACACAGGCGCTGTGGTGCACGCGGGCACTGTGATGTACACAGGCGTTGTGTTGTATATCGCCACCTACATGTTCGTGCTACCCGTCCTCCGTCATTCCTAACCATTCCCAAACGCCGCCGGCGCGAAACGTGACGTCATCGACCCCCTCCCCCCCGGATGATTGCCGTCATCGGCCCGGACTTCAAAACAGGCTCCAGCCGCGTCCGCGCGCACGACGACGATGAGCGACGAGCGACGAACCACGAGCGACGACGACGAACGACGACGACGACGATGACGACGACGCCTGCAGACCAGACACCAATGCGGATTCCTACGCGGACACCTACGCGGATCCCAATGCGCACGGCGGCAGTGCCCGGAGCGCACTGGGGGGGGGAGCGTTACGTCATAGGGGGGTGGGGGGGGAGCGGGGGGCATGACGCCCGTCATGCCCCAAGCAATAAAGAAATGGCCTCGTGCCTGCGTGGAGTCGACAGGGGGGACTGGCCCAGGGGGGGAAGCAAGAGACGGAAGACTCAGGTACGGGGGACTCGGGTTGGCCTGACAGGGGCCATGACAAAAATGACGAGGCCGAATCTGAAATTTGACGCGGGCTCCCGCTGCAGACATCCCACGAAAGCGGGACCGTCAAAATCCAGGACGCGCTCGTCAAAAAAATCGGAAACCCCGAGTTCCGGCTTACTCGAGTCTTACGCTTCCCCACAGGAGCCAGGGTCTACGATGCACCGGTCCCCGATGGGGACCCCCCAGCGCTCCTGGGCAAGTTGGGACACCCAGGCTTCGGTGGCAACTCATGGGGGCCTCCCATAGCATCTTGTCGGCTCCTGCGCATCGACGCTGATCGACGCTGGTCGACGCGAATCGACGCTAAATCGACGCTGAGTCGACGCCAGCCGACGGTAACTCGCGCGATCTAATCGACTCCCAGACGCCAATCGACGCTGGCCGACGCCAAAGACGGAATTCAAAAGGGTATACCAGGCTCCTGCGATTTGCTACCGAATCGGGGATCTTCTGACCCGGGTCAATCCAGACCCGGGTCAGCAGGAAACCAAAAACTGCAATGCAGGAAAAGAACAACTGCAACGCAGGTCTTCGCAAACCCGGGTCAGCCGATACGAGCGACCGCCTCGCAGCCACGAGCGGCTCGCTAACCCGGGGTCAACCAGAGGGGACCTCCGCAGGATCCTGCAGGATCTGGCGCTCTGGCTGACCCCCGTTTGCACTGACCACTTGGATGCTCGTTCTGGGGACCTTCCTGGAGCCACTCGCTCCACTCGTGCGTCGAAGCTGCGTCGAACGTCAGTCGAGTTGGGTCGACCCTGAGTCGAACCTGAGTCGAACCTGAGTCGAAGTTGAGTCGAACTTGAGTCGAACTTGAGTCGAACTGGGGTCGAACAGATCCATAGAGGGCTCCAGGAAGGTCCCCGAAACGAGCATCGAAGACCGCCGTCTCTTAGGCCCCGACCGAACCAGGCTAGGACGAGGCCGGCACAGGGATGCCATCGGGCCCGGACGGCTCCCCCTCGGAGAGGACCGCTGTCAGGACCGGGGCCGGCACGCGCCACCCAGGGGAGGGGCGGAAGAGGAGGAGGAGGAGGAGGAGGAGGAGGAGGAGGAGGGAGGAGGAGGGAGAGGATGAGGTAAGGAGGAGTGAGGAGGAGGAGGAGAGGAGGAGGAGGAAGGAGGAGGGAGAGGAAGGAGGGAAGGAGGAGAGGAGGAGTAGGAGGAGAGGAGGAGGAGGAGGAGGAGGAGGAGGAGGAGGAGGAGGAGGAGGAGGAGGAGGATCAGGAAGAGGATGATGAGGAGGAGGCGGAGGCGTAGGAGGAGGAGGAGGAGGAGGAGGAGGAGGAGGAGGAGGAGGAGGAGGAGGTAGGGGGCCTCTGAGATCCAGTGCTTCTGGAGGCTGTGCCAGGCGCCGCGGCCGCAGGGCAGACATCTAAGGGCACCGACGTCTAACCGCCTCGCGCGGAGCGGCCCTCCTCTGCGCAAAGCTGCTTATACAGGGCCTTCTGCATGGGTGCCATCCTCCACGGTGCCCTCTGGCGGCGAGCGAGGGGGGGAAGCGAGGAGGAGATGGCCTTCTCGGAATGCGGCGGGACTTCTCAGAAACCCTCGCGCCTTCTGAGAGGTGTTTATTTTTGTTATTGCTCTGTCTCCCGGGAAGGCCTGGGAAGCTTCTCAGAAGGCAGCGAGGGGAGGGTCGGAGAGGTGGACAGGGCGCGGGCCGCGCTCGGGGTCCGCTTCCTGTGGGGCAAGCGGAGCCGCGGCAAGTCGATCCCTGTGCCTCGCGCCAGAAGGGAACGCGATGAGCCGCAGCGACGTCTGGAGGCCCATATGGGGCCGCAAGTTTGGAGCACTATGCGAAGCACCAGTTCTGGCAGTAGTTACTAGCCGTCCTCTACCGACTTCCGAGCCTTCTGAGAAGGCCCCGGCGAGGATCGGATCGGACCTGGTAGCTGGAACTGGCTGAGCGTTGCTGGCCGGCTCTTGTGGCCGACGGCAGGAGGCAAGGAGGAGGAGGAGGAGGACGAGGAGGACGAGGAGGAGAAGGAGGACGAGGAGGACGAGGAGGAGGAGGAGGAGGAGGAGGAGGAGGAGGAGGAGGAGGAGGAGGTAGAGGAGGAGGAGGAGGAGGAAGAGGAGGAGTAGGAGGAGGGCTCGTCGCCTATCCCTGCGCCCCAGAGATCCGATGCCGTGATTCGCTCCATGCGGGGTCCGCGGAAGCCTCGCCCCACTCCAGGGACACCGGCCTTCCCCTCCGGAGCCGATCCGTCACGGCCCCGTGGGCCAGCCGAGGGCCTCCAGAGGCCGAACACCAGGAAAAACCTCAGTCCTGCCGCTGTTCCCGATGGCTCGGAGGTCTGGGTGGCCCCTCCGCGCTTTTCCGAACTCATTCCGATGATGTTCGAAATGGTTCCGATCATCTTGCGAAACATCCTCCACGGTACCCTGCGCGCGGCCCACCCAATGGCGCGCGGGCCCGCGGCGCGCCCCGGACCTTCGGCGTGGCGCCCGCAGCGGGCATCTGCTGCCCGACGGCCGCGCCGGCGGGGGCTCTGCCCCCGCGCCGCCGCAGCAGCCGCCCTCGCCCTCGTGGCCTTCGCTGCCGCTGCGCTGCGGCCGCCGTCGTCCCCGGCCAACGCCGCAGCAGCCGTCGCCGCCCTCGCCGCCGCAGCCGCCGCCGCCGCCGTGGCCTGCGCCGCCGCCGCGGGCGCCGCGGCCGCCGCCGCGGTCGCCGCCTTCGTGGCCGCCGTCGGCGCTGCCGCCGCCATCGCCGCCGCCCCCGCCGTGGCCGCCCTCGCCGCCTTCGCGGCTGCAGCCGCCGTCGCCGCCTGCGCGGCCTGTGCCGCCGTCGCGCGGCCTCTGCCGCCGCCATCGTCTCTTGGCACTGGGCGTCACCGAAAGAAACCGCGACGCTCAGATCTGCTGGGCGTTCTGGCTCTTATCCCGGCCTAGGGACTACCGAAAAAGCGGCTCGCGATGAGGAGCCGGCCCCAGGGAAAAAAGGGTCGAGATCCCTGGGGGGGCCCGCCACGGCACAAAAAAGACGCGGAACCACGACACCCCGCGCAGGTACTTCGCGAGGCCATCGTCCACGACGAACTGCTCTGGGGCCCCGATGTGCGCACGTCGGGCCCCTGTCACCGCCGAGGAACATTTCCGTGCTCGCGACGACGTGTGAGAACTCAGGCCGGGCGGAGAACCCAGTGCTCGGGTCGATGCCAGCCGCGCGCAATATCATTCTGCTCGGGGCGGCCGTGGAGCGCACGTGGCCGCCTCTGCAACGGCTCCTCGCCCACCGCCTGGTTGACAAACCCCTGCAGCGGGATCCGTGCCTCCTCCTCAGAAGCCCAGACCCATGCAGCACCTTACTGACCCACCGCCACGCGGCACCGAGGACGCACTGCCCAAGGGAGAGCATCTGCGCCCAACCCTTGGTCAAATCAGCCGAGCGCCTGAGCCCCAATGGCCACAGTCGTTGGGGAGAGAGGAGGCTCCACTTACGATTTGGTGCACGGGGCTTCTAGCAGAGTTCGCGCGGCACATCGGCTGCCCCACGATGCGTCTGGCCGGTGCGCGCGTGGGCTCTCCCTCGTCGCGCTTGCTCCCCGAACGTCACCATGCTTTTTCAGCCGGTCCGCCCAGGCACATCCAGTGAAGTCGAAGCTGCGGGCCCCCAGCTCCACTAGAAGCCCGAAGGGACACCAAAATTGAACGTCATCTGGCAAAAGGTAAAAGGAACACTGCGCCTGCTTGGTAAGTCAGGTTCGGGTCATGACAACCTGCGCGCTGGCTTCTGACACTACGTGGATCGTTCGAGCTTCAGCGATCGCGGCTTTCCGACGGCGTGAAACGTCCGATGCTGGCCGAGTCCAGGAACTGGCGGCGTTCAAGCTTGAAGGTCCGCGCTGGGGTCGCCACAGATAATTCGGAGAAGAAGCCACTGCATCAGGATAGACTTTGGGAGGTCCGCACGGATCTCTTGGGCCGGCGATGGCCCCCCACGGGGGGCCGGGGCCGATCCAGGAAATCAACGCGGAGCTCCGCCAGCTTATGTTGATGCCGCTTCCTCTTTTTCGTGCAGCGTCGACACGACACGAACCTGCCGAAGTAGCAAGAAGGCCTCCTGAGCGGGATCCGAGCTAATTTACCAGCCTCGAACTTGCCCCTATCCCTAAGATGGACACGCCAAAAGGCGATGACAATCTTAGGGATGCGCCCTCAAAAAATAAGGGAATCCCTAAGATTGGCATCGTGATGAGGAGATGCCCAGCATATGGATAGGGATATGTTCCAGGCTGCTAACCAATGGGGTCGGAGCCCGCAGAGTGGGAGATGCATCGGCGATGCGGCGGCGCTGCCGGCGTGAAGAAGATCGGGCTCAACGTGGCCGGCCCTGGAAACCCTGAACCCAAAAATTACGGACATCTCTTGGGGGCGTTTTTTGACACTTCCGCCAGCTTCCGCCAGTCCCCATCCCATGGTTCTTCCGCCGCGTTCCGCCGGGGAAGGGATGGCAACCTCGTCGGTCCTCGAAGGCGAGGCCCCTTCTGGCACACATCGAGCCGTCTCGGCGATGCATCGGCGATGCGGCGGTATCCTCCTCCGACCCCACCTGCTCCGACCCCCATCTTTAGAAGAAGAAAAACAACAAACGCCATAAACATAAATTTTTGGCACTCCGCGCGGATTTCTTGCATCTGCGCTGGTCCCCCCTCCCTGGCGCGCGGAACGCGCCGGGGGCGCCGCCGGGGGCGCCGCCGGGGGGGCCCAGCGCGGATCCAAGAAATCCGCGCGGAGCGCCAAAAGTTTATGTCTGCGGCGTTTTGTCTTGTTTCTGCAATAAACAAACCTCCCGTTAGTAAACCTCCCCTTAATGAAAACGGCCTGGGACCGGAACCGACGGACCTGGACCCGCAAAAATGACGGCCGCGACGCCCTCTCGCGAACCGAAAGCGGCCAATTCCTTCATCGACGTGCCAGGGTAGGAGGTTTATCAACCTCCGACTGGGCGATGCATCGCCGATGCATCGAAGATGCACCGGCGACGTTGCGAGGTCGTCCGACCCCCCGTCTTCTCCGGCCGAGGACAAAAAGAACACACGTCCGAGAGACGCATGCTCTTTTTCCTCCATCGAAAGCGGCCAATTCCTTCATCGACGCGTCAGGGTAGGAGGTCTTGTCCACCTCCGACTCTTCCCCCCGCGCGGCACCCCGCGCCCGCGCCCGCGCGGCCCCTCGCGCGGGGGCTCAGCGCGGATCCGGCGGGGCCGCCGGGGCCGGGCGCGAGGGCCGCTCGCCGCACACCTCGAGGCCGGGGGCCGTGGTCACGCGCGGGTCCCGCTGCACGAAGATGCGCTGGCGGAGGCTCCTCTGCCGGACGCCCCCGGGAGCAGTCCCGGGCATCGGGCGCCTCGATGAGGGCGCGACGGAGGTTTTCATCGTTTTCCGCCTCTTCGGGCCCTCGCGGGGCCTCGGGACCGTCAAGAAACGGCTCGGGGCGAACCACCGGCCCAGGGGAGGTGGTCGGGAGGTCGGGGGCCCGTGTCTCGAAACAATCGAGGCGTCGGATGTCTGGGGTTGCTTTTTTGTTTTTCCCCCCTGGCGATCACGTAGGCAGAGGGATGTCGTCACGTGATGCGAGGTTCCCCCCTCCCCACCGAATCCCTTCCTCCTCCTCCTCCTCCTCCTCCTTCTCCTCCTCCTCCTCCTCCTCCTCTTTTATCCTCTCCTCCTCCCACCCTCCTCCGATTCGTATCGCGTGACGGATCCGAGTCGCCGAATCACGAGCGTGACGAGGGAGGGGAGGGGCGGAAGGGGGCCAGTCACATCGCGATTCGCGCCAGCGCCGACTGGGAACGCCTGATGGCTGATTCCGCGACGGCGCCGGCGCACATCGTGACGTGACCATGCTGCGGGAAAGGGCGGGGCGAGCCCGTCGTGGGTGTTCTCGCGAATGAACAACTGGGCTCCAGGCATGCTCGCGTCGTGAACAGTTGCTCTTTTATCTGCGGCGAGCTGGTTCCAGCGAGCAGTCGACTGGCGGCGGGACGCGTCGGAAGCGAATTACACGTCGATCGGGAGAAGTTGGTAGAAACATGAAGTAGAAAGGCGTTGGAAGTAGATTTGGTCACGGCAAGCAAATCTAAACTCCACGCAAGCTGGGACTCGCTTGCACGCCGTTTCGGCCGCTTGGCGCTGCTTTAGGAGGCGGCGGAAGAGGGGGGAGGGGCGAAATGCCATGCAAGTAAACTTGCCCAAATGTTGAACGCCCGCACGCCGATCTGAGAAATCTGCGCGGACTTCCGCAAGTGGATACTTATGGAGTTTCGTCGTCCTCGACCTCTGGCACGAGCACGCTGCCCGGGGCCCTGCTCGGAATCTCCACAGTTTCTGATATGCAACCCGCACCCTGGGCGGCGGGCACGGACCTCGACGGAGTTCTCCGCCGCGCTCCGACGAAGCCCGTCAAGGGCAGCGTGGCGACTCCCATGTGGACGCCCGAATGGGTTCGGAAAAACAGGTACGATGCCCAATAACAGGTATTGTTCAAGACCGACAGCGGCCGCCTTTGGACATGTGGCCTTCTGTCTCAAATGGACAGCGTCCGCGGCGACACCGGCAACGAGTCTTGCTCAAAAGGGGCCGGGAATACTGTCGGCCTTCGTGCCCGTTCTTTCCGTACCCATGTCGGTCGTACCGAGGAGTCTGAACACGAAGCGCCCTCCTATCAGAAAGGGCAAGACATCGCATGCCTGGGTCTGGCGCCCCGACCAGACAGAGGCGGCCGGCTCGTCCTGCTCTTTGGTTGGCCTCCTGGGAGGCTGGGAGTCGGGCCCCGTCGTCAAGGCACGTCTCGGCACAGAAAGCCTGTCCCTGGGCGGTGGTCGACCAGGACATGACCGCGTCGTGCAAACACCCGGGCGGGACTCTGTGTTCGCCTTTACTGGCAGCGGGGGGCCCTCGCTGGGCCTCGGGATCGTCAAAGAACGACTCGGGATGGGAAAGCTGACCCTGCAGGGGAGAGAACGGGTCGCGACTCCTGCCGACCGCCCAGCGCGGCACCAGGGAGCCAAGACATCGCACGCCTGGGGAGAGGCCCAGGGGCTCACGCATCGGAGTAAGTTGAAGCGCCAGCTTGACTAGACTGCTGAGCTCCTCCACCGGAACTCCGGGATCGAGGACGGGGCGGGGACGGTCTTGTTGTTGAACATTATTAATTCTAAAGAATAATTATTGTTGGGACCCCTGGTGCACGGCCCCCCTGCGCCGCCTAGGCCGCAGCTACATTTTCATCATTTTCGTGAGGAAGCCTCAGGTAATTCGATGTGATCAAGATCCGGTTGTTTTGTTCCCCCCCGCTTTCCCTTGCAAAAAACACTATAAAATGACATTTCTTGTTCTAATATAATCAAATTTCAAGAATCCCTTGCAAAAAATAAGGTAAAGTGGACATTCGCGCGCGCAAGACGAAATCCTTCCAAAAGCTTAGTGTTCGGAACGATTTTAACATAAAAACATCAAAAAACCAATGGTTTTTTCAACAAAAAAATGTCAAAATCTCATCCCGCGCGCTCTTGCGGATTCGTAGGAAACCCAACACTTTTTAAACATTTCTGTCAAACGGGCTTTTGCGAGCAACTTTTTCGAACTTCTGCGACAACGGTTGCGCACCTGCCAGGGCCATCATCCCTGTCAAATAATACCATGCGGGACACATTCGTTTTTTCTTCGCGCGCGCACGCCGAAATCTCCAAAAACCATTGGGTTCTTAAGAATTTTAGCACCGCGCATCATAAAATCACACGAATCGCACCGTAGGTCCTCGAAAAACACCTGCACGACTTTTCAAAATTTCCACCCGCGCGCGCTGTCCGAATCCTAAAACAACCAATGGTTTTCCAACATTTATGTTACATGAGCTCGCGCGAGCTACTTTCGCACGCTCTTGCAACGGGTGTGGGTTCACAAGTTGTTAAGCCTTGTGGGTTCACAAGGCTTAACAACTTCTGTGGGTGTACGAACGTAGGCTTAACAACTTCTGTGGGTGTGTACTCCACGCCAGTGTAGTAGCCACGGTCGTCCGCAGGCCACGAAGTGAAGTGTCCGAACGTCATAGGGCGGGAAGCTGGGTGTGGGTGGTGGCGAAGAGTCGTGTGGATATTTGGTAGAGCTTGCACTGCCCCCCCACAAAGTGGGGGTATTGGCTGGCGTCGCATGAAAACCCTGGCACTGGTGAGAACACTGAGCGTTCGGGTAAAGTGATTGTTGCTGTTGCTGTTGTTGTTGCTATGGCTGTTGTTGCTCATCAGAGTGATGGGGGCCGAACGGTCGTTCCCTGTCCATGGGAGAGTGGCTGAAGTGGGGTTCCGCGGTGCGGACAGTTGTTGCGTTGCGCTGCGACCAGGCCTGGGACCAACCCACGACCCACCCGCGACCTACACGCGACCCACCCAAGAGCAACCCGCGACCCCCCCGCGAACCACTCGCGACCCACCCCGCGCCCGCCCCCTCATCCTTATCCGCAGCTGCGGGGTGCTGCATCATTTGTCTGCCATTTTTTCGGGCCTCTGCATCCAGAGGCTCCCTGGGGACCTCTTCTGACCAGGACCTGGGGGCGCGAGTTGCACTGCCCAGGGTCCTCCTCCAGAACCAGATGTCTGTGTTGAGCTCCGGGGTCTCGAGCATCATCGTATCGCCCCAACGGCTGAAGCCAGCTTCGATCAAGCCACCCTCGACCTCCTTCTCCTCATCCCGCAGGCTGTCTCTGTCATGGTGGAACAAGTCCCATGTTACTGCATAGCGGTGAAGCGGAGTCAACTTTGTGCCGCCGACCGCCCATGGCAAGCAAATCTCTTCCACGATGCCCGAGGAGTTGAGGCGGAGGTCGGGCATGTACCCCTCCGAGCATGGCGCAGGATGCAACAGGAGCGTCGCCTCAAAGTCGCACTCCTCCCTGTAGATCAGCTCGATCTTGCCCAAGAGCCCCCCTCTTGCCACCTCGTCGTTCGTGGTGAGCTGGCCGAGGCCGTTCTGGCCGAAGCTGGCCAAGTCTGTGGGGAACCCCTTCTAGAGGAACAAAAGCAAAATCCAGAAACAGAACTTCTCGGAGGCCCGCCTGGATTACTTAAATCGGCATCGGACCCCCCTTCCCTGCACGCCAGGGGCGGCGCCGGAGGTGCCGCCAGGGGGGCCCAGCGCCGATCAAATAAATCCGTGCGTGCCTCCGAGAAGGTATGCCTGTGCCTGTTTTGCTGTGTTGATCCCATCGTACTTAAGGACCACATCCCAGAAAGAATGTCGAGCACCCAGAAAAGTATCGAAACAGTGTCGAACACCCCCAGCTGTCTTGGTGCTCGAAAAGCTTTCTGGTGATGAAGGCTAAAGTAGGCTGGGGCATCATTCCTAAATCAATGCTTGCACTGAAGGGGTCCTAGATTTGGCGAAAATTTCCCCGCCGATTTTGGTAGCCGGCTGGGTTCCCAAGCTCCTGGTTCCGGGTGCCTGGGTTCCTGGTTGTTTGTTTTGGACTGATTTCGGTGGGTTCTGGGTTCCCAGGTTCCTGGTCGATCTCCTTATCGATCTCTTTATCGATCCCATTTCAAACCATCCACTGAATGTTTTTTCTCTGGTGTAATAACATGTTGGATGCACCCAACCCCAGAAATCCGATGTCGTGATTCTTTCAATGCGCGGCCCCCGGAAATCTCGACCCATTCCCCAGGACCAGCTTTCCCTTCTCAGCCGTTTGGTCCCGGGGCCCGGCGAGGGCCCCTAGAGGCCGAAACTTGGGAGAAACCTCCGTCGGGATTTTTGTCCAACGCGTGGGATCTCCGGATTTTTGGGGGGGCGCCCAGCCTTCGGCAGGAGCATCTTCTGCACGTGATGGCAGCCCTCGAAGCCCGCAGGGCCCCTGGAGGCCGAAAATTGGGACAAACCTCTGTCTGGATTGTTCCAGTGCGTCGGATCTCTGGATTCTTTGGGGGGCGCCCGGCCTTCGGCAGGAGCATCTTTGGCTCGTCAGGACTCGAATGAAAATGGCAGCGGCATGCGAACACAGCAAGTGCATGATCGACACAATACTGCGTGCAATGCGATACGGCAAACATAAGCACATGCATGCATGCGGCGATCTCACAACAACACCCCTGTATTGCAGGACTGCTGCTTCTGCCGCCGGGAGGGGCATCAAGTCGTGCCCCCCCGCCCTCACTTGAACGAAGTTTTTTTTTGCAATCCTTCGGCAGGAGCATCTTCTGCACGTGGTCGCAGCCCTTGAAGCCCGCCGCGCCGCGCTTGTGGGGCACGAAGCGCGGGAGGGGGGCCGCGGGGCGCGACACGCCGAGGACCCGGCCCAGTGCCTCCGGGACGTCCTTTGCAGGGGCCCGAGGGCACACCAGGAGATGCACGCAAATCCCAAGGATGCCCCATATTTCCCCCAAGAGATGCACACTAATCCCAAGGATCCCCCAAGAGATGCACGCAAAGCCAAGGATGTCCCAGATGTCCGTAGATATCCCAAGGATCCCCGAAAATTTTCCCGCATGCAAGTTCAAGGATGTTCGAAGTAAATGCACACAAGTCCAAGGATGCCCCAGAGTTCCGTATAGATTCCAAGGATCCCCCATATTTTCCCACATGCAAGTTCAAGGATTCTAAAAAGAAATGCACACACATGCCAGGACGCCCTCTATATATATATATATATATATATAGATCCCCCAAGTTTCACAAAGAAGTACCTCTAAATCCCAGGACCCGGTCCAGTGCCTCCAGGACGTGCTTACAGGGGCCCGAGGACACGCAAAGAGGTACACACATTGCACCAGAGAACATGGGATCGATAAGGAGATCGATACCCAGAGGTCCAACGCATTGAACAACAATCAAGGCGGAGGTTTTTCTCAACTTTCGGCCTCTGGGACCCTCGCCGGGCCCTTCGGACCGTCAGAAACCGGCTCAGGATGAGAAACCGGTCCTGGGGAATGTGTCGAGACTTCGGGGGACCGCGCATTGAAAAAATCACCACATCGGTTCTCTGGGTATCGACTGGAAACCCGGAAGCCACCGAAATCGGCCCGGAACCAATAACCAGGAACCCGGGAACCCAGAACCGGGAAACCGGGAACCCGGGAACCCAACCCGGGAATCGGCGGGACACTTTCGCAAAATCATTCAATTTCTGCTGGGACCCCTTCAGTGCAAGCACTGATCGGGGAAAACCAATGGATTCTCAATATTTTCCCATGTCTTCTGGGTTTTCAGCTTCCCCACCCCCACTTCCCATATGGTCCCATCAATTTTCCTGGGGATCAACGGTGAATCGAGTCTGTGTTATTTTTTCCCTCCTGAGTCCTCCAAGTCACGGAACGCACATTTTGCCGAGCACAGCACAGAGCCGAGGTTGGCTCGGAAAGCCATCACCATGTCCTGCCCCGCGAGGTGCGAGTCGTCGGCCTCTCGGCTGGAGGGCTGCGGCTCCGCGGGAGGTCTCCTCCAGACCTGGAACAGGAAATCGAAGCCGCACCCGTCGTCGTCGATCGCCAGCGGGCGCCCAGCAGGGCCCACCCTGGCTTCCGGCGAGCTGTAGAGCAGCCTGGAGCCACGGAACAGAGGCCCGACTCCGTACTCGTCACTGATCTCCCAATCCCACATGATGCGGGACGGCTGATCATAGCCTGTCACAAGTACAAGTTGCGTCAAATCGTCCACCGGCTCCGGGAGACTCCTGGATGCGTAGGAGATCGCACAGCCGAGGTCCGCATCATCATCAGCATTGGCTGCGCCGACGTCGACCAGGGGCTCTTCAGAGATCCAGATGTCGTAGCGCCACTGGCAGCGCTGAACTTGATGCATGTGCTTGCTGTGCTTGCCGTCCTCGATCGCCATCCACCACTTGGCCAAGCTGTCCGAAGCCCCCGAACGATACGGATTGCCCAAGCGGCCCATTCTGCAGCCGCACCCCCTCGTCACCGTGAGAAAGCGCCCTGGCTGAAACAAGCCGCGAGGCACCAAGTTGCGCAAAGGTGATTTCTCTCCGAGCACGCCCGGGGACGCCAGGAGAAAACGGCCTGCCAGGACGTCCAAATACCCAAAGTCGAGCTTGACCGGGTGCGCATCGCAGCGGCCCCCGTTGAGAAACATGTCCTCGAGTGCGTCGACGTGCGTCTGATCCGTCTTCCACGAGAGCACCTCAACCTCGTTGCTCTTCATGATGGCCATGGCCTTCTCTCGGAAGATGTCCGGTGCTCCGTCCTCGAGTGGCAACGATCGGGAGGCCAGCTTCAAGGGGGAAACCATCGAGCTTGAATCGGCGATAAGTCGCCGATAGATCGGCGATAGGCCCCCCATAACGAATCCACGCGTTCACGGCGGGCTGGGCTATCGTGCTACTGTCGGCGATGAACAGGAGACTTGGGGTCATAACTCGGCTCTCTGGCGGCCGTTCGGGACGATCCCGACATCCCCAGGACGCCCTCGGCGAGGCGCAGGCGCTGGAAGGAACCCCTCGGCCAGAACACTGACTAGGACTGGCGAAAGCGTTCGAGAACTGCGTACCTCGGATCTGCCCCCCAACGCAACAGGGGGACATGCCCACCCCCATCCCAGGCTTCGTGGGGTGGGCGGCAGGAGCAGAAATCTGGGGCCCAACCCTGGGATATACGACGGGAGGGCGTCCACCCCCGACGGGGGGGCCTCCGGACACCCGAGACAAGCTGCTGAGCACTTACTCCAGGTTTCGTAATAAAAGGGAGGGTGTCTGGACCCTCCAAGACAAGCCATTTCAGACCTCCCCCGTGGGAGAACCCTCCAAAACATCGTCCCCAGACCCCCCCAGGCCCTCCAAGATAGCCTGGAAGAGACCCCCCCCCTCCCTTTATTACGAAATCTGGAATAAGGAGCACTGAGCCGCTCCCCAACGAAACGGGTTCCTCCTTCAGCGACCCTATAGTCGGACCTAGGCTAGAAGAACATCCCTCAAGAACGTGAGACCTCTGTAGGCCAACACAGCGATAAGATCCAAGGGCACCCCCCAGGATGCACAACACCATCCAACGAGCACGAAAAACATCAGGGCACCCTCCCCCAACCGACCTCGATCTGATACCTCGGCCCGACTGTACTGCAACGTCGCCCCCGAGTCCTCCATCTTCCTCGCCTCGGTCGCAAAGACCTCCTCGCGCATGTCGAAGAGCACGGGCATCGCGCCATCTGCAAGGGCCGCCCGCGGCACCTTCGCGAACGCGAGCATGGAGAAGCCCTCCTCTCGGGGGCACTGCCAGGGGGGATCACCACCACACTGCCCTGGAAAAGTACGATGCAAATTCAGGAGTCGAGTGGTTACAATCTCGTCGCCCTCGGTTTATCCTCGTGTTCGTAGTAGCCTCCAGGGGCTGAGCAAACAAAAGCTACTGCCAGGGAGGTCCCCCGGACGATTCGCTGACTCGACTGCACAAGTTGCGTTGCCTGTCCTAGGTCGGGCATGTCCCCCTACAGGCCGATTGTGGACGACAACTAAAAAACACCCCAAACAGATTCTAGACCATCTGCAAAAATAATCTAACATCGTCCCCCGACTATGTTTTGACTATGTCTGAAGGTACCTCCTGCAGAGCGACAGGCCCGACTGAATTCTTGTCCAGGGGGGCGCCAGGGGGGGCCGCCAACTCCTCGAGGAAGCGCCATTTCCTCGAGGGACTGGGTCCCCACGAGGACAGCCTTGTGAAGGGGCCCTGACACACACACATCCCCCCCACCCACACACACACACAAACACACAAACACACAAACACACAAACACACAAACACACAAACACACAAACACACAAACACACAAACACACAAACACCCACACCCACACCCACACCCACACCCACACCCACACCCACACCCACACCCACACCCACACCCACACCCACACCCACCCCACACCCCACACACACACACACACACACACACACACACACACACACACACACACACACACACACACACACACACACACACACACACGCACAGCGACACAGAGACACAGAGACACAGAGACACACAGACACACACACAGACACACAGACACACAGACACACAAACACACAGACACACAGACACACAAACACACACACACAAACAAATAGACACACATAACCGGCTTCCACACATCTTCCGATATTCATTTTCTGGGCTTTTGTCGTCCCCCCCACTTCCCATACTTTCCCATACCTTCTGGGGAATGGACGATTCATTGTGCCTGCGTGTTTTTTCCCACTAGGTCCTGAGCCCTCCAACACGACCCCAAACGGCCAAACGACCTCCTCGAGTTTCGATCCCGAACCTGGGCTTCCAGTGGGAACCGGTGACCCCCTTGGTACTGCCCGCATCCTCCCTGGGCAACTGCACGAAATTGAGCGTTGAGCCGCTTGGCATGCGAAGGTCACCGAAGTGCTCCGGGGCGCTGCTGAAGTTCCGCTCCAAGTCCTGGAACATGTCGTCGTCGACGACCACCTTCATGCCTGTGATGACGGAATCGCCACAGCCACGGCAGACCAAGAAACGCGCCTTCCTGGAGACGGTGCTGACGGGCTGGAAGCCAAGCGCGCCCAACGCCTTTAACTGCTGCTCGTCCGACGCGACCGCAAAATCCGTGATCGGCGCCAACTTTGCGAGCGCCTCGGCCCTCTGAAGGAGCTCCTCGGTGACTGCCGCGGTGCCCAAGGACAAGGCCTCCCGCAGGACCTTCGCTGCTAGAGAGGGCCGTTCCTCCACATACCGCTCGTAGACCTTGTCGGCGCCCGGGGGAGCGGGGAAGGGGAGGAGGAGGAGGAGGCGGAGGAGGAGGAGGAGGACGAGGAGGAGGAGGAGGAGGAGGACGAGGAGGAGGAGGTAAGCAAGACTGGGAGGAGGAGGAGGAGGAGGAGGAGGAGGAGGAGGACGAGGAGGAGGAGGAGGAGGAGAAGGAGAAGGACTGGACTGGACTGGACTGGGACGCTTACGACCCTGGTGAGTTCTACTGAGTTCCACTCCTTGCCAACACGCGCAAGATATGTAGAGGATCTGCGAACAGCACGGGGATATAGCCTGCAGTTTCGCCTGGGGGGGGCCACTGGCCCAAAGTAGGACCGTCGAAAAGGGGAAAGAGCCCGTGACGGCCTGCATGGGCAGCACCCGCCCAGCGGCAGGCTCACAATAGAAAGAGAGCCGGAAGTCTCCCCAAACTCAATCCTAGGCCACAGCTCGGCAACGACACGAGGGGAACGACGGGCGAGGAGGAACAGGACACCGCCAACACCGACGCGCGCACACACACACAAACACACAAACGCACAAACACACAAACACACACACACAAACACACACACACACACACACGCATGCACGCACGCACGCACGCACACACACACACACCCACTCACACACCCACGCACACACACACACACACACGCACGCACACACACGCACACACACACACAAACACACACACACGCACGCACGCACGCACGCATGCACGCACACACACACACACACACACACACACACACACACAGACACACACACAGACACACAGACACACAGACACACAGACACACAGACACACAGACACACAGACACACAGACACACAGACACACAGACACACAGACACACAGACACACAGACACACAGACACACAGACACACAGACACACAGACACACAGACACACAGACACACAGACACACAGACACACAGACACACAGACACACAGACACACTACACCACACCACACCACACACACACACACACACACACACGCACACGCACGCACGCACGCACGCACACGCACGCACGCACGCACGCACGCACACGCACCCACGCACGCACGCACGCACCCATGCACACACCCCCACACACCCCCACACACACGCACACACACACACACACACACGCACACACACACACACGCACACACACACACACACACACACACACGCACACAGAGGCCAGGAGAAGGGAGAGAGCAGGCAGCAGCGGCGGCCGCGGGAGGGAGGACGAAGCGAAGGCGGGGGAGCAACCAAGCAACGGAGGGGGCCGTGGCACCCGTGAAAACAGATGTTATGTTTGAAACTCTAAGTGCTCAGACTCAGGAAGGGGGGCCTCGGACGGCGGGGGGGAGGAAGGGGCAAGCAGCGCACTGGAAGCACGCGCAGCAGCCGAGAACGGAGACGAGAGGAGATCCGTCGACGCCTTCCTGGCCTGAGCGGCCTTTTGGAGAGCCTAAATTACTGTCAAACGAAACTCCAGGGGCTCTTGATAATGGGCCTCGAATTGAACACTGCCAGAAGGAATGCTGCAAAAATGGGGGCTTGAGATTGCTGCTGCATGCTTTGAAGCTGCATGCGTCCTGTGTGGCCGCGTCGGGCCAGTTCTAGCATTCGAACTGACTGACAAAGAGAAGCGAGACGAGCAGGCTGCCTGATCCTCGGGGAAGATGGGCGGTCAGGGGCCTCAGCTGTCGGCGCAGCAGCCGAGCGGCTGGACACCGCCGAGGCACGGGGTGGCGCCGTGCTGCGGTCGGAAAAAACTGTGGGGGGACCAGACTGGCCGCCCTCTGGGAGGAGAAGGGTGGCTCCGAAAGACTTCTGGCGAGCCCGGCACGCCCCCTCCTCCTCCTCCTCCTCCTCCTCCTCCTCCTCCTCCTCCTCCTCCTCCTCCTCCTCTCTCCCTCTTCCTCCCTCTCCTCCTCCTCCTCCTCCTCCTCCTCCTCCTCCTCCTCCTCCTCCTCCTCCTCCTCCTCCTCCTCCTCCTCCTCCTCCTCCTGGCCTGCCGAGGGGGCCGCCCCGTGGCGGCTCCGGAGCAGGCCTGCCCAGCTCCCCCTCGGGAGGCAGCGGGCCTGCCGAGCCCCCATCGGGCCAGGCCCGCCCCCGCTGCGAAGGAGCCGGGACGAGGATGAAGGATGAATCCCATGACGAGGCCAGGACGAAGAGGAAGATGAAGATGAGGACGAGCATGAAGATGAATTCCATAAAGATAGCAATGAGGACTGTCTGCGACGGAGCCAGGGCGAAGATGAGTTCTATGACAGGGCTGAACCTCAACGGTGTTTCCCGGTTTCGCGTTGTGTGCGATGTCCCTTGCTTTTGTCTGGAATCCGCCTTTACCGCAAGTCGAAGTCGAAACGACAAAGGCCCACGAAATCACCAAAAACACCGTTCAGGTCAAGCCCTGAGTTCCATGAGGGAGATCCTGAAGGTCTCGCGCGGCAACTTCTCGATGCGCGTCGGATCCACGTCGGATTTACGTCGGGTTCACGTCGGATCGCGTCGGCATTACGTCGGATTTACGTCGGACTGACGCTGGAGCATCGCCGCGCGAACGTCTACCCATAGCTTGCGGAGCTGACGTGTAAATAGATAGTACAACTATTGCGCGCCGCGCGAAGTCCCCAGGAATTTTCCTCATAGAAAAATTTAGGAGCAAGGAAAGGCGACACCAACAGCACCAGGGCGAAGAGATGCGAGGAGCGAGAGGGGGTCCCTGGTGGTGTGGCCCCCAGTCCCGCTCGAGGCACTCCCAACCTACAGCTCGGGGAGGTATCGTGGACCTCCTGGCTGGAGGTGGCCCGTGCTGGTGGTGTTGGTGTTGGTTCTCCTCCCTCCGAGAATTTGGGGGAGGCGGGATGCCTCGGCCGCCGCGGCCTCCTCAGAGCGTTTTGGAACGCTCTGAGTTGAGCAGTGTCCGACTGGCCCGGCATTCCTATCCTAGAGATGTTCTTAAAACAAAAACAATGTTCTTAGAACATAAGCCCGATGTGTCAAAACAAAACAGTATCAGCTGGAAAGGTCCTAAGAAGATTTCTGACAGACCACCAAATATTATCAGAGCATTCTTTGGTGGGCCCATAGGCCAGCCAGGGCGCCTCGACACTGCTTGACTGAGGGGATTCTGGAACGCTCTGGAACGGGTTTATCCTCGTCTTCGCCCCGTCCGGATTATCCCCTGGACGGCGCCCCCGACCTTTGACAGGAGGCTCTCGTCGAGGTCACGCAGAGACACACCGCCGGCGACCCCCACCTGGCCGCGTCCAGTTTGCACGGCCGCACCAAGGACATAATAACATCCGTCGACAGCATGGGACCCTCCGCCAGACAAAACACCCCAAGCCACAAGATCACCGAGTGTACCATCCCCCAGGATGCACAAGAGCAGCCAATTAACACGAAGAACCATTAGGGCACCCTCCCCGAACCGACCTCGATCTTAAACCTCGGTCCGACCGTTGCGTTGCCAACGTGCTCCATTCACACACCCGTATGTTTGAGGCCTCCTAGATGGGGTTCGAGTAGATGGGGTCGGAGGATCGCGCCGCATCGCTGATGCATCGGCGATACATTGCCGTTGCATGGGCGATGCATCGGCGACGTCGGCGATGCATCGGCGCCCTTGGCGTGGAGACAATCGGGCTCCACATCGAGCTGAATCGCCGATGCATCGGCGATGCGGCGCGATCCTCCGACCCCATCTACTCCGACCCCAGCTAGGAGGCCTAGATTAGGAGGCAACTACTGGGATGTTTTCGCCGGAAGGACTAAAGAGGGTCAAGCCCCATTGGGGGGCTGTTATGCCAGAGTGGGCCTCGGATTAAGCCAGACTAACCGGGATTAAGCGGGATTAAGCCGCATTAAGCGGGATTCGGCGGGATTTCGGTGGACTTCGGACCAGGGCAACATCAGAATTTGACCTCCCAGGAGTTGCATCCGTACCTGGAATATTGGCGGGCACGTTGTGCGATCCCTTTCGGAAGCCCTCGAGAGCCCAACGGGGCAGGTGTGCCCCGGTGCTGGCCCCGGGACCCGACAGGGCTGTGTGACTCCGTGTCGGCCCAGAACGCCGCTCCCACACCGAGCCCTGGTGCGGACAGTAAAATGGACGGCGCCACCTCTTTGATGAAGGAGCCAGCAATACCGGAGAGCGTCCAAGCGGTGCCCAGCGCGTTGCAGGTGCCGTAGCTCCGTAGGAGCGCCGCCTCGCTCTTCCCCGCCTGCGCCTGCGCAATCAGCTTGGGCTGCTGGCCCTGCTCGAGCTGCAGCTGCAGCGACGTCTTCGCGAGCCGGAGGATGGCGGCAAGCGTCTCAACCGCAAGCGTCACCTGGTGCAAAGCATGGCTGCCTTTGCCGTCGGGGCTCGCAAGCGACAGGCAATCGTTCACCAGGCGGAGGACAGAGTTCACCAGTTCGAGAACCTCGACGGCAACCTTAAGACCCTCGGGGTGCTCATCCGTGATCAGAAAGTAAAGGGTCTGGAGGATATAGTCCAGCTCCACGATAATACCGACCACTGCGACGTTCTGCACGGCCAGCGCGATCGCCGTGGCGGCCTTCCACATGATCCCGAGTCCCACCATCATGGTGTTCCATGTTTCCTTTGAGATGCCCTCGGGTATCTTCGTCTTTCCCACAGACAGCTGCGCGAGGCCCATAAGGGAATGAATTAACACATCGCCCCTTTCGATTTTGTCTTCCAAGCCTTCAAAATCAATTTTCACTCCAGCATGCTCGCTGCCAGCGTGTTGCATGGTTTCCAATACCGTAAATGTGAGGCCAGTCATGAAGCAAACGCTCGCGGACATGAGATCCGCTTGCGCCTGCTTAATCTGTTCGCTCAGCTTGTCGACGTTAACCTGTAGGATGATTTCACCGCTCGCAGCGGAGTGGCACGCAGACTGCACCGCTGCACCCATTGCACGCCGCAGGTGACTGTTCACCACCACTAGAGACTTCGAGAGCCGCGCCGCATCGGAAGCGATCACCTTCGCCGCCGTCGCGTTGAGCGTGCTGACACACCCGACCTTCCCGCCAGAGATGGACAGCGGGCACGCCGTCTCAGGAACCCGCGCCCCGGTGAACTCCACGAACGCCTCGATGGCCCGCGTGAGCAGGTCGGACTGCACCTGGCGGGCTCTGGAAATCCTGGAGCAAACAAGAGCCTTGCCACCTCCTCGGACGCTTGGGCGTCGCGCGCTGAGGGGGTGATCCGTGAGGGGGCATCGACGGCTGCAGGAAACGAGCCCTCCAGGGCCCCCAATGAGGCCCCCCTCAGGGCCGAGCAGGGGGCCATCAGGGCCCGGAAACTGCACCGTTCTTCCCCCCGTGTGAATGCCTCTCCTATGAAAAGACGCCCAAGAGGCCGACTATTTACTTCCGCCGGCGTCCGCCGGCAGAGCCGCCCCCGTCTGACTTCCGCCTCCCTCCGCCGAGGGGCAGATGCCAACTCCGTCGGCCCTCGAAGGCGAGCCCCTTTTCTGCAACGCCTCACCTCGAGGGAGCGCACCGAGAAGCAAGCGTCGGCGCGCTCGTCGAAGATCTGCTCCTGGACCGTGCGCAGCTCCGCGTGCGTGCCCTGCAGGCGCGAGATGCGCACCGCGTGCAGCGCCACGTTGGCCACGTTGGCGAGCGTCGAGAGCCCTACGGCCGTTGCGAAGAAGATGGGGTCGCCACCTGGAGGGAGAGAACGAGCCACGAGCAGCGAACATTTCCGTGTCAGCGTCCTCGCGGTCTGAAATCTGGGGCGCGATCCCACGGATACGCGGTCGCACGGGTACACGTCCGCCCGAGGCATCCGCGAAACAACAGCGCCCCGTACCCGCGGGGTCGCGGCCCAGGGGCCCAGCCCGCGAGGCCGCGGATGCGAGACGTTTCTCGCCCACGAGCGAGGAGCGAGGGACAACGGAGCGAGGAGGAGGAGGAGGAGGTGGAGGAGGAGGAGGAGGAGGAGGAGGAGGAGGACTACGAAGAGGAGGATAAGGGGGAGGGCGAGGAGGGGGGGAGGAGGAGGAGGACGACGACGAAGAGGAGCGAGGGACAGCGGAGCGAGGGCGAGGCACTGCTTCTCCATCCCCCGCGGCGTAACGTCCCCGACAGGGGGCGAAGGGCGGGGTCGGCCCTGCCAGCGCCGCTGCACGCGCGCGAGCACCAGGGCATGCCTGTCATCACCACGGCATGCCTGCGAGCACCGCGCCATGCCTGTGCTCCTCCTCCTCTTCCTCCTCCTCCTCCTCCTCCTCCTCCTCCTCCTCCGCCCCCCACCCCCCCGCACGTTCGGTACCGCTGCGGGGCGACCGACCCCGTGATGTACCGGACGCCGCGGGTGCACCGAGTAATAGACCATCTCGGCGAGGAAAAATTGGAAAGGGGGCGGGTGGCAGAGCAGAGGGCAAGGAGGGCAGGCGAGGACGAGGAGGCGGACGGGGAGGACCTGGAGGATGCGAAGGGCCAGGCCATGGGAGCAGGGAAGAAGGATGGGTGCGACAACATAGAGGAAGGGAAGCGGGAGGAAACGCACGCAACACGCGACATGGGAGGCTGGTCACAAGTTCAGAGGGATTACAATCGGCATAGACATAAGCTGCCGGAGCTCCGCGCGGATTTCTTGGATCGGCGCTGGCCCCCCCCCTGGTGCGCGGAGCGCGCCAGTGGCGTCAACTTGGGAGCAATATTGGGGCTGTGCTGGGGCCCAACGACGACCCAAGAAATCCGCACGGAACTTCGAAAGCTTGTGAATATGCCGCTTCCCCTCGCCGAGCACCAGCCCCAGCGGCCAGGGCCACGGCGCCCGACTGTGCCCCGCGGCCTCAGAGAAACAAAACATGCAGAATTGCATAAACTTCTGGAGCTGCGCGCGGATTTCTTGGATCGCCCTCGGCCCCCCCCCTGGCGCGCGGAGCGCGCTGGGGGGTGGCCCAGCGACGATCCAAGAAATCAGCGCGGAGCTTCGAAAGCTTGTGAATATGCCGTTACCCTCGCCGAGCACCAGCACCAGCGGCCAGGGCCACGGCGCCCGACTGTGCCCCGCGGCCTCAGAGGAGCAGAAAACCGAATAAACGTAAACTTTAGGTCGGGCGTGTCCCCCCTGGACGAAAAATACAAAACATCAAACAGTTATCAAACATGGCCACATCGTCAAAGAAACGTCCCCAGACTATGTTTGAAACTGTTTTTGAAGATTCCTCCTGTAGAGGGACAGGCCAGACTGAACATAAACTGTCGGGGCTGCGCGCAAGTCTCCTGGACCCCCCCCCCTCCCTGGCGCGCGAGCGCGTCGGGGGAGGCGCGAGAAGCGCCGCCCAGGGGGGGGCAGCGCCGAGACAGGAACGCCGCGAGGAGCTCCGACAGTGTCTGTGGCAATGCGGATGTTTGCTTCTCGAGGCCTGCAAGGCTGGAGCCGCTGGCGACCTCTAGCCTGTGAGCAGAACTCTGGAGGTAGGAAAGGGGTATGGTATAAAGGGGTGTGGTGCTAATATTAGGTAAAGGGGACTCTGGCGATGCTATTAATCGCATACATCATCGCCATGTCCACGATTGTCACCATACCCCTTTTATGCCATACCCATTTCCGACCTCCAGGATGACTTAGCCGATCCCTTTCCCCGCCGGCGTGGCTTGGGCCCCACTGGCCGATTCATCCCCCTAGATGGGGATACGGGCTGTTCCCTGCGGGTCTCGACGGGCATCTCCCCTGCTGTGGTCGTGGGATGGTGGGGATCGGGATGGGGATGTGGATAGGATCTGTCGCCGCGCCGTGTGTTCTCGACGCGCCCAAGTGGACGACACCGACACCAGGGCCAGTCCACGGCAAACCCTGCGCCCCGCGCCCCAAGTACAGCCAACCCGTATAGCAAGGATGCGCGATAAGGTTTCAAGGGCCTTGGACGCCCATTTCGAAGCTTTCCGAGCGGGGCGCGGCCAATGAAAGTCGCCAAGGATGGACCGAGGAGGCAAGGATGCAAGGGTACCCTTGGGAAGGCTCCCCATCCTTGCTGTGCGGGTTGACCGTGGACGAATCTGGCGCCGCGGCAAACCAACGGCACGCCCACCGCCTCCGAGGCGGAGTCTGCCCGAAGGATTGCAAAAAAACCCAGGATTGCAAAAAAAACAGGATTGCAAAAAAAACCCAAGGTCTTTTTTGCAATCCTAAACCCACGTTTTTTTTGCAATCCAGGGTTTTTGTTGCAATCCTTCGTTTTTTTTTGAAATCCTGTGCCCGCGGCGCCCTCCCCAAAGCGCAAGGCCGCGCGTCAGAGCAGACGGCGCGGCGACGTCGCTTCAACGACACTGAGCCTGTGCGACTCGATGGCCTCGGCCACCCGCCTGCCCTCCGCAGAGCCGATCAGCAGCAACACCAGAAGGGCGGTGGCGAGCGGAGGCGCGGAGCCGCGGCGCGCCATGGTGGGCTCCGGGGAGCCGTACGTAGGTATTCGCAGACAGCGCTGCAGTTCTCTGAGGCCGCCAGGCCCATCGCGGGGCCCAGTTCGCTACGAGCGTCAGGTTGCATAGCGGAGGGGGCAGGTACCCATACCGCCACCCTTCTCCCGTTTTCCATTTGGGGGCTCCTGGGAGGCCCTCCGGATGTGCCCGCGACGACGCGAAGGCGACGACGACAAAACGGCCGACGGCGAAGGAGACAACCAGAAGGGGGAGGGATGATCTTCCTCCTCCTCCTCCTCCTCCTCCTCCTCCTCCTCCTCCTCCTCCCCCTCCTCCCTCTCCTCCCTCTTCTCCCTCTCCTCCTCCTCCTCCTCCTCCTCCTCCTCCTCCTCCTCCTCCTCCTCCTCTCCTCCTCCTCCTCCTCCTCTCTCCTCCCTCTCCTCCTCCTCCTCCTCCCGCCCCTCCTCCTCCTCCTCCTCCTCCTCCCCCTCCTCCTCCTCCTCCCCTCACCTCCCCAGAAATCCCAGCGCCTGGCAGCTCCGCTTTCTCGGGGCACGGCGGAGGAGCACGACTGCATACGCGTGCGCCCTCCGAAGTCCGCGCGGCCTTCCGGGGTCGGCCCTGGCTCCACCTCCCCTGACTCGCGCGCCAGGGCCGGCGCCCAGGGGCTTCGCCTGAGGCGCCGCCCAGGACCAAGGAAAGCTCCAGTGCCCGCTGGCAGGAAGAAGCGGGTAGCAACATGAAGTAGGAGGGCGGTGGACGCAGAGTGGGCTCCCGCCCGCCCCCTCAGGAGGAGGTAACAGGACCACACGATGCTTGAGGTAGGACGGCGCCTACATCGGCGGTGGACAAACCTCCCTTCAGTAAACCTCCCCTTAGTGAAAACGGCCTGGGACCGAAACCGACGGACCCAGACCCGCACAAATGACGGCCGCGACGCCCTCTCGCGAACCGAAAACGGTCAACTCCTTAATCGACACGTGTCAGGGTAGGAGGTCGATCCACCTCCGACTAAAGCAGATCGGGCCCCGAAAACCCAGAAATGCCTACGTCCAGCCACCGCCGATTTGTTGCTTCCAAATAGATGCCCCCTCCGGAAGACAGTCCACCAAATTGTCTGGTTGCCTCGGCTCCCTCCAACCAGGAGGAGGGGGTGAGGGCGGGGGCCGGGGGCGAAGCCGTGCGGTAGTAGCCCGGGCAGGTATGCGCCGAGCCAGGTAGCCCTGAGCCGAAGTGCCTGCGGAGGGGAGAGGAAGACAATGAGGACAACGGCGGCGACGACGAAGAGGAGAATGATGGGGACAAGGACGAAAAGGAGGTGGAAGGTGCACGGCCAACACCACAACGGCGACACGGAAAGACATGTGATGCACCTGGGCATGCAGGACCACCTCCGTACTGGAAGCAGCAGTCGCGGCGGGCTTCCCAAGTGGAGGCAAAGTATGTACAGACATGTGGCAAATACTTGATACCTTTCAGTCGCCTGCAAGCAAGAGTACACAATCGCATTGCATGTTTTCGCTCGCTGACAGCATCGCCGCAACAAAGAAGTGGAAATAACTATTGCAGGTATGCAAGTCAGATGCCCTCTTCGACATGTCGCTCCACAGAGTGGTCCTCCGCAGCAGCTGTCACCGAGAAGGTACAATGTACTGTCCAAGATATTGGTATGGATCCGCCACCGTGCCACTGGGCACGGAGTGGGCGTGTCGTCAGGTCCATCCCCTCAACCCCTGAGACTCAACCCTTTTATCTAGGGGGAAAACAAACCTACCTCGCTTTTGACCACCCTCGCTTCCAAGAGATACCAAGCGATGCCAAACTACGGCCTGTACTGGTCAGGCCGCCTGACGAGGAGGCGCGTGGTATGACTTGGTTTTTCGTGGAAGCGAAAGCGGGGTAGGTAATTCACGCTCTGATTATCCAGAGTTTTCGCAAGGGGCCTTGACCCGAATTCACAACTCTCCTTCTCGCGTGACTTGCTCGAGTCCACCAGGGCCCCAAGAGAAGCCATCTGGGCCTTTAAGAGGTCCCCAAGACGGTCCAACGAGGCCCGGAGTCCCCGAATGATCGCTCCAACACGCCCAAGATGGCCCCAAGACAGCCTAAGAGGCTCTCAAGACGGCCCAAGAGGCTCCCGAGCTGCCTCCCAAGAGCGTCCCAAGAGGCCAAAATCAAAGATGTTCCCAAGGTGTTTGAAAGGTATTGGTCTTATCGCCCATGCGATTTTCCGGCGCTCCAAGAGGCCTCAAGACGGCCCCAAGACGACCCACGAGGGCCCAAAGACGGCCCAAGAGGCACCCGAAATAGCCCAAGAGAGCCCCAAGACAGTCCCAAGAGGGGACCCAGAGAAGGACCACGAACCGAAAGTCCAAGCATTCCGCCCCGAGAGGGCTGGAGGAGGCCTCAAGAGGGTCCCAAGAGGCTCCGAGAGGCACTCAAGAGGCCCCCAAGAGGCTCCAAGAGGCCCCCAACAGGCCCCCAAGAGGCTCCGAAGAGGTCCCAAGACTGCCCCCAAGAGATCCCCCGAGAGCGCTCCGAAGAGACCCCAAGAAGCATCCCTGAGAACTCTAACCCACAACCCAGGAGGCACGGTGGCGGGATGGGCCGGCGGCTGTTTGATACCAAGGCTTGGAAAGTCACCCTGCAAAAGCTGAGCTGCTCAGAGGTGTCTCTCTGCGTGGCGGGAGCTGTGGCAGAGACGACACAATGCACCGCAAGCCGACCGAAGAGCACGCCGAATCCCTGAGAGCGTGCCCGAGAGTGTAAAATATCGCAGCAGCAGCGGCAGCACGAGACGGGAAGGACGCGGAGGAGAAGGAGGAGGAAAAACAAGAAGAGGTGGTGCATCAGGACAATGATGGGCAGCAGCGGGGGTGACAAGGGCAAGAGGAGCATCAATACAACACGAGTCTGGAAGCCCATCAGTCCAGTGGCGTGGTAGATCGTCCAGCCAGATTACTTATATGGGGTGGCTGCCACGCTCCCCGCTCGTTCGTGCAGGGGGTCCGCTGGATGAGCTCCATTGCCCCCAAGGGCAGAGAGCAAGGTAAGAGCGAGGCGAACGTGGTCCAAGAGCGCGCAAATAACGGCCGCATAGTGGGGACAAATCCGTGCCAGGCCATCATCTGGCCCCACGGCGGCTGCAAGACGCCCCGTGTTACCCAAAGATGGCCCACGCCAGTCCAAAACGGACAACTGGACAACGAGTATGGCTCACATTGGCCAAAGAAGACCCCGCCTGAGGCTCCCAAAAAGGGCAGTCCCAGTAGACAACATGATTGCTATATTAATCTGGTCACCTCGCCGTTGCAGGCTCCAGCGGCTTCTCGGGCCCTGTGGTGGCCCCAAGAGGGCCCCACATTGACCCACGCGAGCCGCATGAATATTCGCACACGTCGGACGACCCAGGGGGACTCCAAGAGGGCCCTAAGGGAGGAGATCTCCGAACCCACAGAAAAGAATTGACCATCAACTCCTCCTCCTCCTCCTCCTCCTCCTCCTCCTCCGCCTCCTCTTCCTCCTCCTTCTCCTCCTCTGCCTCCTCCTCCTCCTCCAGCTCTTCATCCTCCTCCTCCTCCTGGTCTTTCCCCCCTCCATCTTATCGTTCGACTCCTCATCCTCCAGCTCTCCGCCCCCCCCTCATTTCTCCTCTTCCTCCTGGCGTTCCTCCTCCTCGTCACCTCCCCCGCTCCCCTCCTCCTCCATCCAGGCGTTGGCCGGTCAAGGGGGCCGCGGGTTGCGTTCCCAGGGAGCGCGGGCCCCCTCTAAGCCAGGCTGACCCCATACGTGCCGCGCGGCTGCCCGCCATAGCTGCCGCCGCGCGCCCGTGCCGCGATCGCCGCCTCGCCCAGCACGAGCCGACGCGGGCCAGAGCCCGCTTGGCGCAGACGTCTGCGGCTACGGCGGATCGTGCGCATCGCAACAGCAGGACAACTACTTCGTGCTCATCACAGCGCAATGTCACGTCCATGGCAGCGTCAGCTCGACTCAAGCTCATCGCAGCCCGCTTCCTCGTCGGGGCACCAGTGGCAGTGTGGTCAGTGTGCCACACACAACTGGCCCAACGTGAGCATGTGTGCATGGTGCTTCCCCCGCAGCCGTCGGCTCGGGGACGAGGAGGGAAGTCACGCGACCGCTCGCATCCTCGCAAGTCTCAGCAGTCGCAATCAGAGCAGCCCCAGTCCAGTTCCCAGCCTACCCAGATGGGTGGGTCGGGTTCGGGCGGACGCGGAGGAGTACCGCAGAACGGAGCTGTTTCGAGCCTGCCTGGCTTCTCGCTAGGCATTTCGCCTGCCATGCCGCAGGAGGCACAATCCCATGCTGCATGGCTGGAGCCGCCGTCGGACCAGAAGGAGCTCGCGGCCCACCGTCTGCAGCTGAAGAAGAATCTAGAGGCCCTGGAATGCCAGATCAAGTCACAGCAGGCTTTGAAGGCCAACCAGTCACGCCTCAACGAGCTGACGGACGAATACGCCGTCATTCTCTACATGTTCATCCACGCGTACCCGCCCAAGGATCGGGTACATAACCAGGGCCGCTACATCGAGCGCGCCAAGAAGAGGGTGCAGGACGCTGTCGCCTCCGAGGACGCTGCCAAGACTGCCTTGGCAACTGCAGCCGCAACCCGAGCTGCCATGCAGGAGGACCTGGACAATGCACAAGCTATTCACGCTGCCTTCAAGGTTATGCAGGAGCAGGAGGAGGCCGAGGCAGACGCCAAGGCTCAAGAGGCAGCAGCAGCAGCACAAGAGGCCTCATCAGGGCCGCCGTGGCGACAGCAGCCCACCCAGCCCAGCCCATTCATGGGGGTCGACCATGGACGCCCGATGGCCATGGTGACGCCGCCCAGCCCGTTCGTGACAGCCATGAGCACATTGGCGGCCCAGATGCCACACACTCCCCAGCAAGTGCCGCAGCAGACACCTCAGGCAATGCCGCAGGTGATTGTACAGCTGCAGGCTGGCCAGAGCACCATGGCGACGCAGTTATCGCAGTTGGCTCAGACTCTGGCATCGATTCAGACGGCGCTCGCAGCAGGCTCTCAGCTGGCGCGCCAGCAGCCGCAGGCAGCGGGTGCCACTGGTCTGCTCCCAGCCGCCGCAACGACCTCATCGCCTACTGCACCTACCGAGGAGATGGGAGCCGACGGCCTGCCGGAGATGACTGTGCAGGAGCTCAACGCCATGCGAGAGGCCACGGGCCTGAAGGTCGCCGTATCGCACATGAAGTCGCACCCGCTGCTGCCTGGGCAGATGCCGCTCCCATGGCCAGTTCAGGCCAATCCCAATCGAGCTGCGAGGAGAGGAGCGACCGAGGCACATCCCGACGAGCCAGCCGAAAAGAGCCAGACCCTGCCGCACGTGGGCATGGACGGAGTCGACATCGAGGCGCCGCCCGACGATGCCGCTGCGGCGGCGGCAGCGGGGCAGCATCACTTTCACAACCCGAACGGGGCCCAGCAGAGTTGAAGCACTTCGCTTCGCAGGACTCGAGGGAGGGCAATCAAGATGAGCTCTATTCGGGAGCCACACCTTCTACTCCTCTGAATGGTACTGCCCCCTCCAGAGGATGCATATACAGTCCGCTCCCGGATACCCAGGTGGTCCAGGAGTGTCTCTTCCAGGCTTGGAACACCCCTCTAGACAGCAGCCTGTTGGATGTTGCCCCTTACCTGCATTCTTCTACTGTTCAGGCGCTTCCAGGACTGTATCCCATGACCGACTTAGATAGCTGGTGCAAGATCCACATCTTCTTGGATGGATCAGGAGGGTGTCGTTCTGGACCAGATCGAGACTTAGTCGTCCCTGGCCGCGCTTTTCATGCGAAGAAAGGCCTACCTAGCTGGGGCTTTGTCGTTCTGGCAGAGGACGTTCACGATCGGGTCGCCATTGTTGGCTATACGGCCTCTACTTTCGAGGACTCGGACCTGTCTCCGGATAGGTTTTCATTTATGGCTGAACTACTGGCGGCCCAATGGGCCCTTGCTTGGCTTTTGCAGCTGGGGGCTCTGGACTCTTGGGATATTTGTCTATATGGGGACAACATGGAGGTTCTTAACGTGCTCGATGGGGGTGCCACTATAGGCCCTCTTGGGAATCAGCGTCGTCTCTTGGATGCCCTTCAGAAAATTTTGCGCATGAGGGCCCGAAGCTGCCGTGCTTTCCACGTTGCAGGACACCAAGCACAGCCATGGAATGAGTTTGCTGACGCGCTCTGTACTCTAGCATCGGCGCGCC